CCTCTCACCGCTCGCAATCAACGTTAACGATAACAAAGAATGGTCATTGAGGTCGATCGCGTGAAAGACGAGGCGCGAATCGCGAGAAGGCCGATCGACGTCTCGCGTAAAATCGGCCAGAAATTTCGGTGGCGTTCACAACGGCGGGATACCGGCGGAAAATGGTCGACAAGGGCGGGTCGGCTGCAGGGGTTGCGCGCGCCTCCGCAGATCAATATTTCATTTCAGCCTCGGCAATCCCCGACTCCCTCGTCCCACACCCCGCTCCTTTTCCACCCTTCGTCTTCTGCCGCTTCGCTCGCGACCTCGCGTACCTTCTCGCACCCGCCAGCCTCGCGCCATCCTCCGCCCCGTGTGTCATGTTTTCCCTTGTTTCCCCTGCTTTCGCTCTCCCCCCCCTCTCACCCTCCCAGCGCCGTCGACCCTCATTAGCCTTTTTGCTACGAGCTCCAATGACTCTTCGTCATCGCGTGGCCGCCATCGGACGCGCGCGAGACGTTCTCGGCTCCGCTTAACCGAATCGATCGCGAGATCGAGTCGCGACTGTGCACACGGACGACGTCAAGTCGATCGGAGTCGCGCAGTCCCCAGGATCCTAATCCTGCGCGACGAGAAGATTGCCTTTCCTGCTCATGACATGGCCCCCGAGTGGAAGGCAATCGAAGATGAACATCGGATTTCCCCCGCGCGAAGCGAGACACGAATTTCTTTCGAATTTCATTCACGAGGCATGCCATCTTCCATAGACATCATCCGGAACTCACTCCGACCAGCGAGAAATGCATTCGCGTGTCTCGACGATGCGGATGCGCACGCCGTTAGCCGAAAATACCAGTCTCCAAGTCGGGTCGGGTGAGGAGGCGGACGTGTTGAAAAATTGTACAAACGTGTCCAAAGGGCTGCGGCGCGTCACTTTGCTCTCTCGCACATGGTATCAGCCTGAGATCGAGCGGGGCCTCCTCGCTCTCGAGTCCGGTCCCTTAGCTTCTCGAGCCGAGACAGTCGGCGCGCGATGCCGACTTTAACCCAATTGCAATCTTACGATCGATGTTACGAGCGCGCACACGGCAGTACTGCGCGTCGCTTTCGCTCCGCATTGTTTCAGTTATTCATTCGAAGTGGAGCTCGTACGCGGACCGTGCTGGCATGTCGTGTGCTGTATGCACTGGCTGCGAGGAAAAGAGGGGGAGGGGACGGACAAAAGTGCTCTCGTTCGCACTTCTCTCTCCCTTTCTCTCTCTCTCTCTCTCTCTCTCTCTCTCTCTCTCTCGCGCGCGCGCGCTCGCTCACGTTCGCGCAATTCACGACGTTCAATCGCACGTTTTTTTTTTCTCTTTTCTTTTTTTTTTTCTTTTTCAGCAATGAGTCCCACGCTGCATGCCAGTGTTCCTCTCATACACATACCCCCGATAATACAATGGCCCTTGACATATCGGAGTCGAGCGTGTGTTACGCGACACGAGTTTCCGTAATTAAAAATTACACCTTTGCGTACTTGCGCTCGCAGGCTGCCTGCAAATATTTTCCGTAACTGCGAGCTGCCAACAGCTGGCAACGCGGTGTTTTAGGTCGCGAAGTCGTATTTTCCAGTTTCAACGTTGCCTCTCGCTCACTCACCGTTTGTTAAAGAGATGTGCCGTGAAAGAGAGATTATCAATTGGTGCAACGATGAGATTTTTAATATCGGTAATGGAAAGCGCTTCTCTTTTTTTTTTTTTTTTTTTTTTGACGCCACGATTTAATGTGTATCATATTGGATATTATTATTGACGCACTGTATATATAACGAGAATCGAATACTTTGAGGGGAGGCAATGACGGACGCGCTGGATTTTATTCTTTTATATTTATTTATGAATCTGTGTGTGTGTGTATATATATATATATGCGCTTGAATAAATAAAATACTTATTTAATCCGTTGCATCCTCGTGAGAAAAAGTTGATATACGACCTTCTGAGAAAGCTTTCGACATGTAAATATTCACGTCTGCGAGCTTGCGCGTTCAACATGTTCGTTTCAACAAATGTAGAAGGAATACTAGTTACAAGAACGGAATTTCCACAAAGAGGGATAGAAGGTAAAGGGAGAGAGAGAAAGAGAAGCAACACTCGCATATTCCGAGATACAATTATCTCGAAATATACTAAATTGCTAGACGCGCAATACAATGGCATAGACGCGGAAAGTCGGTAAATCGCACAATTCGCACGTAACGAATTAATAACTGATGAAGTAACAACTGACAACTATATATTACACGCGTCGGATACTGATGCAATATTATCGTAGACGTCGTCTCGTGATTAAATACAGTGGGAGAAAAAAGTGAAAGAAATTAAGAAATGAGATTTGCTCCGGAAAGGAAGAGAACGGAGAAAGAATCACTCGGGAGTGTATAAATTTTCAAAAGTGTTCAAAGCTTCAATATGAATTCGCAACAAACTTCACGATTTCGAATTCATTTCGCAAACGAGAGAGAGAGAGAGAGAGAGAGAGAGAGAGAGAGAGAGAGAGAGAGAGAGAGAGAGAGAGAGAAAACTCACGGTCATTTTTAGAAGGTGCCAGCATCGCGTCGAATCTGCTTGTCGTTGATGCGAGCTGATAGGTTTCACATCACGCGAAAATAACGTTATTATTACGCGCGATTCATCGTGATACCGGAGTGTGTTTGGGGGGTTGCGAAAGCATGCCCTATATTGAAATTTTCACGAGGACGTAATGCTGCTTTGCGCGATTTGCCGGCTTTGATGTCGGCAGCTGCTTCGGAAGCGCGTTGTTCGCGGCCGAAATTGCCGATGTAACATCCTCATTGAGGTACACATACACACAGGCATACCTGTACGTATGTACAACATCCATCCCGTGTATGTATGTGTGTGTGTGTGTGTGTGTGTGTGTGTGTGTGTGTGTGTGTGTCTCGTCCAATTTCCCACGTGGATGCGGAGTACGTTGGATATCGACGGATTTTTCGATGTGAACTCGGATGTATCTCGAGATACACAAATAAGTGAGATATGATCATTACTTGAAGCTGCGTGTGTTCATGATAATTTGTACCTTGCGAATCGTCGAATCTTCGATACTCGCGTATTCTTCGATTCTCCTTGAGCTCTCACGGACATTTATGGCCCGTATTATTTTATGTGGCTCGGGGTATCTCCGTGAATTCAACATTCGTGCCCGTAATTTAAATATGAATGCGTCGACCCTCGTTCGCGAGAGGCGCCGATAATCGCGCGTCCGAAGCGCGTTCCGAAAGACATACGAAAATAGTAAACGTAGTGATCCTTCAAATTGTCTTCTTACGAGAACCCCGTACGAGCTGCGCCGTCGTTGGTCCCTCCATCGATGAAGCGTTGCGATCGAAGTTCCTCCGATTTACCGTGAAAGAAAAAAATGACACAGTTCAACGATCGCGAGAAGGACGAAAGGGCCTTTATGGTAATCGGGAGTCTCTCAGACTCAGCCGACGCATTTATTTTAGACGTCGGCTGCTCGTTTCTCCGCTGCTCAAGTAGAAAAATGTCTTCGCCGGCGCTGCTGCGGGGCTCTGTTGCGTATTTCGAGCGTTCTAGTACCCACGTAACTTACGAGAGTTCGCGATGCTACGCGCGTTCTCGTAAAGTGTCGTCTACAATGGCGGTAAGCGGTAAGAAATAAAGCAATCACAGTCGATTATGACAAAAATAATCAACTGTGGTTGGATCCATTTCTTACTACTTCACGCTTACTTCTTACTGCTTACTGCTTACTGCTTACTGCCATTGTAGACGACGCTTAAGTGTCCTTCTCGCGGGGATCCTCGTACGTCGTGGATCATTCGGATCGCGTGAGCCACGTGAAAATTTTCCTCCGTGAGAATCGCGCGTCACTGTACACAATGAAAAGACGACCATGTCGCTTAACGCTTTTTCGCAATTGCAAGCGTTACGATGTTGAGCGACATATGGGGTCGTGATAATGACAATAACAAAATATAAAGATCGAGAAAAAGGAATCGCCGACAGAATTTCCTCGCAAAGTGTGTGCATCGACGATCTCTCTCGAGAAAATTCCGACGGTCCTCTCTGACCGTGTCGCGACTTCCGCGGCGGATCATCGGAAGCGAGAGAGAACCGCGCGCGCGCTCGTGGGAGATGGCGAGAGAAAAGCGGGAAAAGAGAAGGAGGGAGAGAGAGAGAGAGAGAGAGAGAGAGAGAGAGAGAGAGAGAGAGAGAGAAAGAGAGAGAGAAAGGAGAAAATAAAACGAGAACGAGCGCGCGCTCCTTCCAGGTTAATTTTCGCACGAAATTACGCGGGGCTCGAGATGGTAGGAGCAGTAGACAGAGACAGGCAGTCGGTCGGTAGGGTCGACAGAGACACGCGGTAACGGACGTTTAAACAGCGGGTGAGACGAAGCGCGCGAGGTAGGAGAAGACGAATAGTTCCGACAACGGTGTGGGAGGAGGAGGATAGCGAGACGGGAACGCTGTGTCGAAGAGAATGAGAGAGAGTGAGAGAGAGAGAGAGAGAGAGAGAGAGAGAGAGAGAGAGAGAGAGAGAGAGAGAGGGAATTGTGGGAGGGAGGGAAAAAGAGACAGAACGGATAGGCAGTTTCCGAAAGGTAGGAGCGAGTGAGAGAGACGGGAAGCGAGTCTGACGATCGAATAAGCCGCGAGTAGGAGCGAGACGAGGAGCGCGAGCAAAAAGGAGAGAGAAAGATGCAAGAGCCGTCGCGTCGCGTCGCCTCGCCTCCTCCACCTCTTCGTCGTCGTCGTCGTCGTCGTCGACGTCGTCGTCATGCAGCGCAAAGCGGCGTGTCCGATCCCGGGACACAGCCGTGCGCGCTCCGCTGCCCCACCCAACCTCGCCGACGAACGGCCATGCCGGGGTCGCGAGCCGATCAATACTTCGGCTCGGGCACGAGGAGACGCGAACGCGGACGAGTGCGCACGATCGCGAGCGGACGCGCACGATCGCGACCGAGCCCCGGCACGAGGCGATCCGAGTTCCCCACCACGGGCGGCGTTGCCGGCTCAGTCGCTGTGCGGGAGTGGTCGTCGAGGGATGTGTGGCATCGTAACCGAGAGTGTGACCGAGGAATAAAGAGCCGGCGTTTAGTTTTCGCTCGCGTTCTCCACGTTCTCTCGCACGTCCGTCTCGCGCGCGCGCGTTATTCCCTCCGGTAAGAACTCAAAGGAGACAGAGAGGGAAAGAGGAGGAGGAGGAAAAAAAAAACACGAACGGGATAATACCAGCCGCGGTGTAGTAACCCGAGTCGCCGTTGTCGTTGTCGCAGCGGCACACGCAGGTTCTTTCTCGTTTTGCCCGCCCCTCTCCCCGCGGTCTCGTCGTCCGTCGCGCCGGTTCACGGTTCCGCGTACGGATCGTGTGTATTTACGTCACTATTTATTGTACAAAGGACTTTAAGCTAAGGTAAGTGTGGAAAACCGTGTCGCACGCGATATACTTTTCTCTCACAAATCTTCCTGTTTCTGCCTTCCTCTCCCCTCCCCCCCTCTCTCTCGTTCGCTTGCTCGCTCGACCGCTCTTCATACACACACACACACACACACACACTTACACGTATATACATATACGTACATGCGTATGCTTCTGCGCCCTCGACTTGCTCGCTCCCTCTCGATCGCACGTTATATAGCGCGACGCAAATCGTTCGGGCCATTTCCACGCACCTTCGTCATTTCCTGCGTGACCGACTACGACGCGCCGCCGCCGTCGCCGCCGCCGTCGGCGGCGGCGGCGGCAACGGCACTTCTCGATCGCGCTCACCGTTTATCGTCGTTCTCGTGGGAACTCGTCGGTGCGAGAGAGAAAGAGAGAGCGCGCGCGAGAGTGAGCGCGAGCGAGTCGGCTATCGATCTCTGCGGCGTCGTACTGCGTCGCAGGATTGTCTCGCTCGCTCGTTCATTCGTTCGTTCGTTCGTTCGCTCACTTGCACATCGTCTCTCCGCATTGACGCGTAATACGAGGTCCACCCGTGCGCGTCGAGGCGCGTCGAGGCCGATCGATCCCTCTCGGTATCTCGCACGGGCGGTTCTCCCTCGATTTCGATCCGTTCGCCGCGTCGCGATAATGGACGAGGCGTCGCCGTCGGAGAATGCGGCCGGGAATTTCGCTCTCGCTCCGTGAAAGTAGCGCCGTGGCGCTACCGCTAGCGCCTGGCTCCCTCTTTGAAAGGCCGCCCGCTCCTTCTCCCGCGGCCATAACCTCAAACCGCACGGCGACGCGATGAGTAATGCCCGCCGCCGTTGTCTCTCTTCGCTCGACTGAGAGAGGCACCTCTCTCTCGCGCGCGCGCGCGCGCGCACGCGCGCGACCTTCGTCGTCGCGCGCGACAACGCCGTGTACGTGTACGTATGCTCGTCTCGTCATCGTCTTCGTCTTCGTCGACTCTCTCCCACGGAAGTTTCCACCTCTCATGGCTAAATATGTCTTTCTGCGATGCTTCAACCGCGGCGGACCTCTCTCTGCGAAATGTGTCCTGTTATTACCGGACGACGCGTTAACGAGGCCTTCCTCGGGGGATTTCAAGTACTGCGGGACGTTGAAAGCTGCGCGATTGTCAGCCGGCCGGTAGTTTTGGTCGTTTCCAGTCGGTGTCGAGCTTGCTGAGAGCGAACCGGAGTTTCCGACTCAATCTAGAGAAGCAACGAGAGATAGATGTCGCGCTCCCCTAATTCGATCTGTTTTTCCAAGATCTTGGATCTTTGTCGGGAGTCAAAATTTGTCGGATTCCGCGCACATCCAAAAAATCTGCGTGTCTCCTTGAACTTGGACTTGGTACTTGAGTCGTTGACATGTTTGCTCGTTGATACTTTGCGGCACGACGGTACCTTACGTGTCACGTGACGATCGTCCGAGATTAGATCGCGTAGATTTTGCTTTGATTCGCGATTTTCGCCTGTGCGACTGTTCACCTCCGACACGTGGAGCCTCCCCTCCCTCCCACTCCCCCGCGCCGAGCGATCGAATTGGCCTGGTCACACGTCATAGCTGTCTTTTTATTTTCTGTCAAGAGTAACGCGTAGATCTTACGTCAATCGATCGTCGTCGGCCTTGGGATCTCTTCACACGCGAATATTCTGTTCGCATATATTCATATATTTTCCGGCGGTATTTGTGCGGCGCCTTGTACAGCGGTTTTATAATTGCACGCTCGTGGTACGCACGCGCTTCACACGACATTTATTTGCAACGACAAGCAACGACACGATTGTTATCGACCGCGACTTTTACGGAACGGGAATGAAGAAGAGCCGCGTTTAATCTCGGAATATCTCCGCAGCTCCAATCTCGCGTATCTCTCGCTTCGTTTGATTCGCTCCGGTCGAATTTACCGATTGGTATCGATGAGAGACAGACGACGCCGTTTCAGGACGGAGGAAACTCGTACGACGAGGATTGACACGATATTGATTTTGGTCGGCTAAGGACGAATTTGCACTGTGGCTCACGGAACGGCACGACGAGTCGTCGCGTGTGTGATAGGAAACGAAACGGCGGGACGAATCAAAGAAGCGGTCGTTTCGCGCGAGACAGCGTTTGGATGTGGATATTCGCTTTATCAGTTCTCGCCGTTTATCTGGGTCTTACATCGCGTCGTGTTTTACCTCGCTGATAACGTCGCCACCTCTTCACTTGGCGCGCGTATTTGCTTGAAGCCGGGCTTTGCGTAAGAATGTAGCGACGCTGCGGTCAGTTCTCTCTCTCTCTCTCTCTCTCTCGCGTTAAAATCGCATATGATCTATGACGACTGATCGATCGCGTCGACGCGTGAATCGCAAATTACGCGCCAACGCAACCGAGATGAGAAATCGGCGCCTCGCGACACTCGGCGGAGCGTCGATGTGACAATTCACTGGTGGATCTTCGTTTTTCGATCGTGAAGAAGCGCACGTAGCTCGTGGCAGCAATAATCTCCTCCTCCTATGAGACCGCGTTTGCGACGCGGCTCGTTAATTTGGTGCACGTGAGAGAGCTGATTTACGACGCGGTTGTCCGAGGCGCATTAATGAATCGCGGTGCGCGATCGCGTGCGTGTAGCAATGACGAGATCTCTCTCGCTCGGAATCGCAGCCGCGATCTGTTGCCAGGCATTCATGAGAGAGCTTGCAAAAGCAGCGTCGCCGATCGGGGTTGGCCCACGCGTGACGCTAACCGCATTCTTCCCGCGCCGCAACCGGTCGAGGCGAAATGGGAGGAAAAAAAAGGTGCATTAACTTTCACAGTCGAGTATCGATCTAACGACTCTTGCCGGCAGCTGCGTATTATGCGCGTCGCGATACCGCGTGACGTACGGTACGAAAATTTTGCCCTCCCCTCCCCTCCCCTCGGTCCCCGCCCCCCTTCCCCCCGTCGATCTTGCTTTTTCGCGAGGGTAAGCCTCACCTCGTGTGTGTGTGTGTGTATAATTTTTTCCTCGCTTCGAGATTCGCGAGACTCGCGATGCGATTCAGATAACAGAGAGCAGAAAACGATACACATCGCGCTCTCGAGGCAATCTCGGGCCGATCTTTGTGGGAAGCGGAGCGAGTTTGCTCGCGCGTGTCGCGCGTGCGAGTTGCCTTCTTCTGCTCGCTCGCGCGGGCCGCTGTCGGCCCGACAGAGTTCTTCACGCCAGAAATATTTCGGCGTCGCGACTTGGTCGTCGTCGTGGTGGCGGCTCGTTGCTCGTTCGTAGACGCGGCAACGTCGTCGTCGTCTTCGTCGTCATCGTGCTCGTAGTCGTGCCTACGTTAAAACTTCGAAGCCAGGTGATCGCGCGCGATTAAATATAGGACGTTGAATACACACCTACCTAGCTCTAACCGCCCCAATATTTCCGTCCGGGTTTCTTTGTGTGCGCGAGACGCGCTCTCTACCTTCCGGAGCGATGTCGATCGGCTGATAAACGTCGAGAGAGACCGAAGGTGGAAAAAGGAGAGACGGCTTTTTAAATTAAGGACACCGACACGGCATCGCGCGCGATCGTTTACCTCCTCTCTCTCTCTCTCTCTCTCTCTCTCTCTCTCTCTCTCTCTCTCTCTCTCTCTCTCTCACTCACTCTCAAGAAAGAAAGAAAGAAAAGGAGAAACCGCGCGTATCGTACACGCATCTTCAGAATCGTAGCTCATTCCTCGCGCGTTCTCAGCGAGAAATTCGCAATCTTCTTAGCTCGATTGCGCGTCTACAAAATTATCTTTCGCTCGCTGCATCCTCTTTTTTTTCACGAACTTTTATCGGGTTTGGTAGGCAACGGAGTCAAAGAATGACCGCTATTTATATAAGTGGGGAGATTTATTCGGAATATAAATAAGGATCGAGGAGAGACGAAAGAATTTCTATATTTATGTTACATATTTCGCGCGCGTGCAAATTTACGTCACACACCGATGTCGCACATATTTCGCGCAACGGCAAGTTTTATATCGCGATGTTATCTAAAACCTCATTACTTCATCAGCTGCCGATGAGCTGCACGAGGTGGTGATGCTCGCGATGACACGCGCGATATCTCGGCATAACGAGTGCATCTCGAGAAAGCGGGGAACGCCGCGAGCCGGAAGCGCGCGTTAATGAAAGCGGATCTCGAGTCTTTCCGTTGTGTCGCGGCGCGGATTACGAATTCTTTCGCCGCTTGCGTCGGCCTCGCCGATTTTACAAGACGAATCTACGATTGATCGCGCGGCAGAGCTCGATGTGGTGGAAACGTCGTGGGTAACGTCGGCGCGATCCTGCACTCTCGTGTCGAAGTCGAGACTAATCCGAATTTATTCCCGGCCGCCGTCGTGAATTTATTACGACATCGGAAGATGTGGAGAGGGGGAGGGGGGGGTTTATGAATCTCTCGCGGACGTCGGAGACGATTTCCGGAACCCCGAGGGTCTCTGAGTCTCTCGCGCGTGCGGAAAATCGAACGACAGCGGAATTCACAGATCCGACGAAACGTGTTCGGGGCGAAAGATCTCGTCTGAGAAATCCAGGCGATCTTAACGCGTAAAGATAAAAGCCGGAGTCGCTGCTGCACGCTCGCCGCACTCGTGAGATGTAATAATAATCCGCCGTACTTACATAGGATCTGCGGAATGCGAGATAAGTGGAGCCAAGAATCTGTAGAATCTAGCGTGGGGGGAAGCACCGCGCGCGCGAGTCGTAAAGTTCGTGAATTTAAGGATTGTGAGTCCGAATTTAAATGTATCCAAATGTAATGCGATCGCGAATTCAAGTGAGTGTATTGCGCGCACACTTCTCCGTGTATCGATGACCACCCCCCCCGGTCTGGGGATTTCTTTTTTCTTTCTCCCCTCCCCTCAAGCGCGATATTTTTGCGGCGAGCAACGTTTTACGTTCGTAGGGATTTGCTCGATCAATAGCGTGCCTACCATATTCCACGCCGCCAATCATCGCGCATGAATTCCGCGGTCTTTTGCGTC